ATGCCCTAATGTTTGTATTTTGTCCATTTTTTTTGTTTTCGGAGTTTAGGGTTGTTATTTATGAGTTTCTTTATATTGTAAGGATATTAGTACTTTGTGATACTTTACAGGTATTTATCCTGGAGTAATACTTGCCTTTTATGTTTATGATATTCAAACTTACTGGGGTTTTTTGTTGTGAAGGCAGTACTATATTTAATTCTGTGACACATTCTTTTCCATTTAACTTCTTTGAAATCAGATGTGATTTGTTCTTTATGTGTCCTGCAGTTGTCAGTTGTGTTAGAGTTGTCATTACCTGGGCCCACAGACTTGGTTGTATTCTGGGTGGCAAGTCTGGGAAGCTGTGACCACTGAATTGGAGGCTTCAGTTCAGATACCATTTAAGGACCATTTGAAGAAGGATTACAAATCCTGCTTGTTGTTTGAAAACTATCCATTGAGGACTTCTGATGATACCAAGAAAAAAACACTATCAAAACTTACAGCATGAGGGTCAGTGACTTAGAAGAAAATCTCAGGATGGTGAAGTTCTCTTGAGAAACGCCATATCACCAACACCCTTGATTGTACAACAGTCGATATTGTGTAGAAACTCACATCCTGAAAGTGAAGACTTAACCAGCTTACTCCAGTAACCTTTTCCTTTTTTTTAAAAATATTGGGCCTGGCGCGGTGGCTCACACCTGTAATCCTAGCACTCTGGGAGGCCAAGGCGAGTGGATTGCTCGAGGTCAGGAGTTCGAAACCAGCCTGAGCAAGAGCGAGACCCCATCTCTACTATAAATAGAAAGAAATTAATTGGCCAACTAATATATATAGAAAAAATTAGCTGGGCATGGTGGCACATGCCTGTAGTCCCAGCTACTTGGGTGGCTGAGGCAGCAGGATTGCTTTAGCCCAGGAGTTTGAGGTTGCTGTGAGCTAGGCTGACGCCATGGCACTCACTCTAGCCGGGGCAACAAAGCAAGACTCTGTCTTAAAAAAATATAAATATAAATTATATAATATATATAAATAAATATATATATATTTTTAAGAGACAAGGTTTCACTCTATTGCCTAGGCTGGAGTGCAATGGTGCATTCCTAGCTCAAACTACCAGGCTCAAGCCATCCCCCAGCTGCTCCTCCCAAATAGCTAGGACTACAGGTGTATACCACTGCACCTGGCTAATTTTCTTTATTTTTGTGTAGAGAACGGGGTCTTGCTATGTCTTTTCTTCTCTATGTGTGTGCAAGAGACAGATATGATTTGTTTAAATAAGTCCAGAAGAACCTTTTTTATTTTCTTGAGATGGAGTCTCACTCTGTTGCCTGGACTAGAGTGCCATGGTGTCAGCCTGGCTCACAGCAACCTCACAGCGGTCCTCCTGTCTCAGCCTCCTGAGTAGCTAGGACTACAGGCATGTGCCACCATGCCTGGCTAATTTTTTCTATATATTTTTAGTTGTTCTGCTAATTTCTTTCTATTTTTAGTAGAGAACGGAGTCTCTTGCTCAGGCTGGTCTCGAACTCCTGACCTCGAGCAATCCTCCTCCCTCAGCTTCCCAGAGTGCTAGGATTACAGGCGTGAGCCACCATGCCCAGCCAGAAGAACTTTTTAAATAGAGACAAAATTATAGGGGATAAGAGTAAGTCAGTTTAATTTGCAGAGTTTTTTCTTATTTGGTGGTTCATTTTGTAATTGATGCCATCTTAAAGTTGATGAAATAATGTCATATGGTTAGTGTAGAAAATTTAGAAAATATAGATGAATAAAAAATAAACACCCGAAATCTGAGATAATTGTTAATATTTTGGTATCCTTGATAAATCATTGTATAATACAGACACAGGTGTTTATGGATATATATGCTACATAAGTTTATATTTTAAATGACTGGTTAGTATTTCATCGTGTGGATACATTGTACTTTGTTGGGTTAATCTCTAACTGATGGTAAATCCTGAAACTAGATGGTCATCTCCCTTTAGAATGCCCCTCAATAGTGCCGGTGCCCTCTTCTTACTCTCCCAACAGTGTGTCTTCAGTCTTTTTATCTTGGCCACTCCAACAGACCAGACAGTGAGATCCTTTCTCCTCAGGGCGTGGAGACCTCTTGCAGTAATCTGGCTTTGAGGAATGGAAAAAGACAAATGTTAGATGCATTAGGAAGTAGGAATTGGTGATTAGATATATTTATGTCATGTCCCATGGCATCTCACCACCTCTTTGTCCTCCTGTACATGACTGACCATGGATGGTGTGCTCTTGAGGCCAGTCCCAGATACCTGAGCCTGCTTTTCCCTCCACCTTCCTCTTCAGATTCTCCTGGTTCTTACTGATCTCCAGCCCTCAGGCCTCCTTTGTGCTAGTGGAGGGCTCAAGTCTGTGCCCACCCAGGGCATTTCTCTCTGCTGCTCCACCTGTCTGGAATGCCTTTTGGGCAGCTGACTTTCTCCCATTCTCCAGGGCCCAGTGTGACCATCCCCTCTGCAGAGACGTCTTCCCCTTTTCACCTTCATCATGTGTATTAATCATACTCTTCATTCCTCACAGTCTTTTATCTTTGTCTCTCTCCTCTCTCTTCTTCACCACTCTATCCCCAGTGCCTAGCACTTAGCAGCCACTCAAATGTTGCTTGACTAAATCAGTCATATTGAATAGTGTTGTATAATCTACAACAGTTGTATAATCTATAAACAGTTGAGAGGAATAGAAACTGTTCTTTGTTGTCCAAGAGAGCAGCAATAAGTCCAAGTTATGGCTTTCAGAAGGAGGCAAATTGATCAGCTTTCAACAAAGTTGTTTGGCAGTGGAGTGAGTGCCTTCCTTGGAAGAGTAGTCAAGCAGTGACTTGATATCATTGAAACGATTCTTGCAGTAAATGTTGGGGTTGGTTTGATGATTTCTAAGGCCCTTTCCAGCCCTTAAAACTGTGGGATGAGTGTTCTCATTTGTGTGGTTACTAGTCTACCATTCTTGTTTCAACTGCAGCCCTGGCTTTTACCACTAGATGGCACCAGATGATTCCTTTGAAATCAGTGTTTATGGAACTTGAAGTCCACAGTGAGAAAATACGTTTTTCATTGCACTTACACCCTTGATGCACACTTGAAACTAAAGTGTCATGAAAATTTTAATGCTTACTCTGTGTAATGCATGATACTTTCTATGTTACTCTATTCTACTTCAATTTTTAGAAGCACCTTTGCAAACTAATTTCATCATATTGAATCACAGCTCAGTATTTGAAAAACAGTATTTCAAATAACTGCACTAGTTTACTGTTAGGTAGTGCTGTGTCTATGTTGTTTTCCTTGGACAGACTGATCATGTATGGCAAATCCTGTTCGTTAGTGAATACTTTGCACGTGTCTGTTTTGAGTTGCTGCATCGGGTAGCTGAATATATGTGCTTCCTTACAGGTGTCTGTGGATGAGAGACTGTGGGAGACATGTTTGTACATAATTCACCTATTGAGTCAAGGAAGATGTAAGCCTTGTTGGTTGATATATAAGGAAAAGCTGTATTATCTGCTTCCAGGAGCTCAGAATCTACTTTTGAAACACAACACACAGACTTCTTAAATTTCAGCTCACTTATCAAGCAATAGGGTTATTACTCCGGGTATTGGTTAGGATACATTCAAATAACAGAAGCCTGGCTGAAGTTGGCTTAAAGGGATAAGATACTTACAAAATATACATTGAGCTGTAGAGCAGTCTGTAGGCCCATAGCAGCTGAGCGTGGCCTTAGGGATCCAGGTTCTATTCATGACTTCTGAGTTGTCCTAAAGCTGGTTCTACTGATGGCTGCAAGGCAGCTTCTGGTGATAATCAGGGCTTCAGCTCCCAGGCTTGAAAACACTAAACTTTAACTCCTTAGTGAAGACTGTAGTAGAGAGAATTTAGGCTACCATAGCACTTTCCAGGTTGTACTAGCTTTGTACATTTTTCCTGATTTCCCCACCATGACCTCCTTAAGGGTGAAATGACTGACACCTAATATAGAGTCCAGAGAAATACTTAGACTTAGTGATATTTGCCAGATATTTCTTCTGAGTTTCCCTTCTGGGCTGAACCTTTTGTTTAGTTATCTGACTAGCTCTGGCCAATGAGTTTGCTGAGTGAGTACATGGTTGCAAGTGTTCTATATGAAGTATGAGGTGATGATGTTTGCTATTTAGGGTCCTGGGAAAAAGGAGCCAGTGTAGGGTTGAGCTGAAACTTCTCCTTTCCTCTAAGGCTGGCTGAAAGATCAACTCTCACAAGGCAGAATAATAAGAAAAAGGTTTATTTACCAGGCACATGGGAAGAGTCACAGAGTGATTGCTTAATATCCCAGTGAAGTTCAGATATTTTTATACCTGTTCTTTTGGAGGGGAGGAGGAGATGAGGAGTACAGGTAATTGTGTTTAGGGGGAACAAATGGTGCTAGGGAGGATAAATAGCTGAGGAACACAGATTAATTTGTCAATGATTCACTTTGGAAATTGTAATAAATTAACCTGAGCAAATTAAATTAACCTGAGAGAAAGATATTATATTTAAATGATTTGGGCCAGGTCTGGTTGCATTCTTGATCCTCTTTCCTACAATATTGTGATAACATGGAGAAGAAGGGAAGTTAGTTGCTCCTTTGATCTTTTGATCTGTTAGTCCAGTTTATGCAGATAGAGGGAAAGCCCCTTCCAATGCTTTTTGATCATGAATGGCCTTTAATTCAAAATATTCTTTATACCACGGAGCCATATTTTGGTGTGAAATTTCCTGAGCTGCTTCATTAGCAAGATCAGGAAAGAAAGATTAGAAATGACCTCTGTGGGAAACGTGATATGATGAATGGATGGATGAGTCTGCACATTTGTAATGAGGCACTATGTGTGCATTTGTTGGCCTTTTGAGGTGGATGATTTTCCTCTGGATCCTTGACCTGGTTTCTTGGAAATTGGCCTTGGAACCTTAGTCTGAACCAGCTACTCTCTCTTCACCTTCCTCTTTTTCCATTCCTTGCAGGTTTGCAGTAAGCATCGGATACTGGCATGACCCTTACATCCAACACTTTGTGAGGCTGACGAAAGAGAGGAAGGCCCCAGAAATTAACAGAGGCAAGTGACCATCTCCCTCCCCAGCATCTCCTCAGCCAAAAGCCAGGGGCTGTAGATTTATTCTTACAGGGAGTTCTAGCATGCACCGTTTCCAACAGTATATGAAAGTGTTTACATCCTGATATCCTCACCAACAAGATGTACCATGAAACTTTTTGCTCTTTGTTGATCTGATAAATGAAAAATGGCATCTTATTATAATCTTATTTTATATTCCACTTATAGGTAAGGTTGATCATCGTCACATGTTTAACATTTATTTATGGTTGTTTTTGTGAACTGTCCATGTCAGGTATGACTTTTCTTTTTTTTTTTTTTTTTTTGAGATAGAGTCTCATTCTGTTGCCCAGGCTAGGATGCCATGACATCAGCCTAGCTTACAGCAACCTCAAACTCCTGGGCTCAAGCAATCCTTCTTCCTCAGCCTCCCAGGTAGCTGGGACTAGAGGAGTGTCCACCGTGCCCGGCTAATTCTTTTTGTTTTTGTTTTTTCTATTTTTAGTTGCCCAGCTAATTTTTTTCTATTTTTAGTAGAGACGGGGGTCTTGCTCTTGCTGGTCTCAAACTCCTGACCTCAAGTGATCCTCCCGCCTTGGCCTCTCAGAGTGCTAGAATTTTAGGCATGAGCCACCATGCCCAGCAGGAGTTACTTTTCTTTTAATTTAAAAAAAACATGAATCTTTTCCCCTCCCATTCCTGCTCTTATACTGATTAAATAAATATGGTGAAACTGTTTTATAAAACTGGTATGAGGACAAGAGTCCTCTCAGAGTACTGTATCAGATTCACTCTGTTTTGGTAGAGGAAGAAAGGCCTCCATTTTGCCTACAACTCATATGGATATGTGACTAAATCTGTGGATTTAATTGGGTTCTTCTGTATGGAGACTTTCTAAAGGTATTTGTATATTTCAGGCTGAGCATACCTGAGTTTTCACCCCTCTAGTCTGTCTTTCTGTAATTTCCCTAAGGGTAGAGATTGTAAGGTTCCCAGCCAGCTATATGGCCTGAGGATTATAAGCCTAGAAGATGTGAGTTTTCCACAGCTTTGTTGACATCCTTCACTGTAGGGTAGAGAGAAATTGTCAGACCTAGTAATTCTTAGATGAAAGAGGTCTCAGAGATGGTGACAGTAGTAGGCCTAGGTTCAGATGATTTGGCTCCCAAGATTCTGAAGAATTTATTTTCCTTCCCTGGCTCACAGTGTGAATAGGGTTAGTCAGTTAAGTATGGCTTTTGAAGCTTGTTCAGGAATATCTCTGGAATATGGCTTTAGAGCGCAGTTTCCAATGTCTACTCCTTATAAGCTCCCAAGAACTAAGAAGTCTCTGGGTGTGTATGTGCTGTCTGGACCACTTGAATGGAAGCAGCCTAAAGTAGTTAAATTCCTGATTCCTCTTTTGCAGGCAAGTTTATCGTATATAGATAAGAGAGAAATTCAGCTCCTCTCTGCCTTAGCAGTGTAGAACCTGAGAGAGAGGAGTTGGGAAATTAATTACTTTTTGTTGCAGTATGATAGTGTTGATAACACTTACTAGTCTGCAGTTTCCATCAAGGAAGTCAAAAGATTTAAGACAGGAGTATGACTTCTTAGCCAGATGGAGAAATTGACCAAATGACAAGAATTCCTATGTGTACAGGGAATTGGCCTATAGATCTTGTACATGGGTTCTTTAAGAAACAAATTTTAAAGTGGTGGTTCTCCTGAGAACAAGGATGTGGTGCTTTGCTTTGCACTCCCTCGTGCTCAGGAGGCATATTTCCTAACAAGTGCTGCAGAGGCCAGGATGGATACCCATCCCCCACCCCTGCTGACAACATGTCAGCCTGCTCCTCTCTGGATTTGAACTTCTAGATTGCAGCAATAGGAGAGTGCCTCCCAGACACCTCCTATTGTGTGTGGTGAGGATGTTTTCCCCCTAATATCCAATTTATCACAGCTATCTCTGCAAAATACAATAGAAGTGATTTTACTAGAAAACAATGAAAAAGAGATACAAAATACAATTCCAGATTATTTATTAGTAGATTGAACAGACATACTTCTGTCAAACTACAGCAAAAGTTTCTAAATGCTACTCTCAGATTTTCTCTTAAATTAGTCAGGTCCTATTGATAGTCATGAACAAACTTTGAGCAGGAGAGCTTTAGAATGCAGGCAGACTTTCTCTTCCTTTCTTCATTTCTTATCTCTTTCTCCCCAGCCCTCTCTCCCAAAGCTTAACAAGTCATTTTGTTAGACACCATTTGCCTACCACTGCTCCCCAACCCCCACACCTCTGCCATTTTACATAGAGATGCTGACCCATTCAGTTTGGAGAGGATAGGAATAGGATAAGAAATATGACTTCCTTTGCTTTTTAACATTCATCTACCATTTTCCTGGCCTAAAATGCTATTTTCTATATCACCTCACAATTTTGAGTTTTACCAGAGTCCTGAGTAGCTTTCATTATAGCCATGAAAGGCACATTTCCAAGAGAGACATTTGGATCAGAGATTTTGATGTAAAACATTTGTCTTTCGTACATAAAACTATAGAACATTTTTTTAAGGTAGTTAATTCCTGCATTAAGTAGATTATATTTACTTTGGTTCCTGTGTTTTGTTTTTTTAAAGAATTTAAAAGTTGCTATTTCTCCCATAAAGTCTATAGATAAACCTTGGATACTGAAGAAAGGAAGGTGTTTTCTGTTTTGCTTTTCTGGTGGTTATGGGCTTTACGGGGATAATTTCTGTCCTCACTGGGTGATACCTTGTTTCTTTGGCCCTGCCTCAGGATATTTTGCTCGAGTCCATGGTGTCAACCAGCTTATGAAGGCATTTCTACGGAAAACAGAATGTCATTGTCAAATTTTCAATCTTGGGGCTGGGATGGATACCACTTTTTGGAATTTAAAGGTAAGTTAAAATTTCCCTCCTCCCTCCCCAATTATTTAATTTTTTGAAGATACTCATTTGGTTCAAAATTTTAAAGATACATATTGAAAGGTATGCAATGACAGCCTGTCTCCCAGTCCTGCCCCCACCTGCCTAGATGCCCCCATGACCACCATCAGTCCTATATTTTATCTCACCAGGGGCCTAGGGATGGATATTTTAGGTTGTTTCTAATTGTTACAGAGTTAACATAAAATTTTTTGTCTATATTTCCCTCTGTATGTGTAGAAATATGTCAGGATGGAAAATCCCACTAGTAGAATTGCTGGGACAGGGAGCCCACACATTTGTGATTTTGATGATAAATAAGATTTTGTTGGCAAATAGCGTTTTGGGTAACATTCGGAGGTTGGCAAGGCTGGGTGATGATACTGTGCAAAGTTCTTTTGTAGTTCTCTGATTTGATCCGTTAACTGCCCTCTTAGGGTATGAGTGCAGTTGTAATTACAGCACTCACAGGCAAGGAAACGTGGGTCTGGGTAGTGGCAGAATCAGAACTGATGATGCTGGTCTTTGACTCCTGGGCTTGGTTTTTTACTGCAAACCTTTTCCCTACAAAGTCCTTGCTGATTACATTTTTTTATTTGTAGGTTTGTACCGATTTTGCTTGGTTCTTCTGTCAGGTCAGTCATGTGATGGTGATGGGTACATGCCTTTCCCCAGATTGCTTGCTGAGGTAAACCAAGACCTGCTTATTTATTTGTTCCTAATCAGCTCACCTGATAAGAAGGTATTGGTGACAGAGCTGCCAACTTCTCTCTTACTGAGAAGTCAGTGGCTTTAATGTGGTCTTGACATAAGTTTCCCTCTGCATTCTTCTTTCAAGATACAATCAGTAACACTTATGAAGTGCTTTTATATACATGACCTCATGAATTAACATGAGAGCTGTCTAGGGGGTTTTACACAGTTGGAGGAAATGGGACTGCCAAGGGTTGTGTCTTATCCCATAGCCAGTGGCATTGGAATGGGGAACAAGCAGTGGAATCAGGGCACCAAACTCCAGATTCCTTCCTCTTTCCCCTGCACACAGCCCCTGTCTTTTTGGCGACCTTATCTTTCCTGTAGATTTGTAGAGTCTTTGTATTGTCATGTCCCTTGGTGTGGTGTAAGGAACTGGAGCAGAATACAGTGTAAGACAATGTGCCATGTCACACTGTTAACAGAGGCTGCTGGAGAAATCCTTCCATTAGCCCGAGATCCCTTTGACTTGGTCCCATGATTTGTTTTTCCCCTCATAGGTGGGATAATAATAAAAGCCTCATATTTATTTTTGAGCACAGTACACCGAGGCTTATGTACCCCGTCCAAGAAAAAGGTTGTCAATAATGAAAAAGGGAAATTGCATAGTATCTGAAAGCCTTTTGTGAAAATTTATTTTTGATAATCATATTGATCAGAAGGGGTTTTTTAATTGGTCTAAAGTTCCATTTAAAATATAAATATTATGATCGTTTGCAGTTTGAGAGCGGGAGTTGCAGTCTATAGCCATGAGCTAAATCTGGCTTACCTTATATTTTTGTAAATAAAGCTTTATTGGAACATTTGCATATTGTGTTTTAGCAATCCTATGACAACTATGGCAACAGAGTTAAGTATAGAGACCATGTGGCCTGCAGTGGCTAAAATATTTACATTCTGGCTTTTTGCAGTTTGCTAATCTGTTTTAGCGATACATGTGTTTCTGTAAAAGTGTGGGGAAAATCTTGTCTATTGGTCTTATTATCTCATGTACCTTCCAGCTGGGATGGTTCCCTGGTTACACTTCAAGCGGTTTAGCTGTGAGTCACGGGCTTCCTGCTGTGAACACTCCCTGTGTAACCTCGGGAGCACAAGAGGTTGGCTCTGTAGGGGAAGGAGGCTCATTTTTGGCTGTCTGAAGGAGTCATCCCTGTTGGGTTGCCTTTGAGTCTTAGTGACATCCTGCTGCTGGCTGCCCTTGGACCATTATTCCCAGAATGGGACATCTTCCACACAAACTCATGAAATGGGAGCTACTTGAATGTGGAATGTCAAAAGGGCCTTAGAGAATCACAGAATAAAAAGTTGAAGCATTACTTCCCATGGCCATTTTGCCCCTTTCTCAAAGCTGAGGAGGAGGACATCTGTTTCTTAAAAGCTCCAGGTGTGCCTTTTGAAAGCTTTCCTTCCACAGTGACATTCAGAATTCTTATAAAAATCAAGTAACCTCATGCATGGGGAAGCTTTTTAAATAGTGAGAAGTCTCAGAGCTGTAGGACCCTATGCTGTCCTTTATGCATTTGCTTTTAATTGTTCATTGTCTTCTGGAATTTTAGAGGATCCTTAACTTCTCATACTCTGTGAGTAGAAGTTCTTAAATGGTGTTGTGGAATTTCTTAGAAAATTATTTCCATATCTGCTCTATACATACCCTTCAAATATCTTGAAATAGCTTTTATTAATACATAGCTCTACTCGGCAAGCAGGTACGTGCTGCGGCTCTAAGTGTGCACAGCTGAGATTTGTGAGCCCAGGTCTCCTTGGATGTGATGTGAGACTGTCATTTCTGGTTTGAAAAAGATAACCCCCAGGCTAGATCCTCTGGGATTTCAACAGAGGACCAGTCTCGATGTGGGTGGGGGGTAAGCTGTATCTCACACAGTTTTCTTTGAAGGGTCACTTTCCTACTGGGATGTGGCTGCTTGTGACTTCTGCCCCCATCATGCTGTCTGCAGGGGTCGGCTTCACCTGCCCTCTAAACCTGTTCTGTCTCTTGTTTCTGTCTCCATGAATGGTTCTTGTACCTGCCTAACTGCTAAAGTCAGATACAACATGTCCTCCTTAACTCTCCTTTCCCTTCATCCAGTACGAAACCCATGAAGCCCTTGCTAAGTTCTGGATACCAGCAGGCTTCTGTTTTTAAGTAAATGGTTGTGTATTTCTGGGATTTAAGTGTTAACAGAGCACTAAGGGGAGAGGCTGGGCAGGAGGGCCAGGTTGTGGAGCGCCTTGTTTCTTGCTGAGGTGTGAAGGGCTGCTGAAGGCCACATGCAGTGTGTAGGATGGTGCACAGTAGTGTGGAGCTGGGAGACCAGAACAGGGTGTTGTGACAGTCTGCATAGGGGGTGGTGGAGCTCAGGAGGAGTGGATGGATTCAAGAACAGTCAGCAGGACTGAGTAGCTAGTTGATTGGATGGTCAGGAGGGGATGGAGAGAGAACCAGGATGACTAATCACTGACTATATGGGGGTTGGATATAGCCACCAACCAAGAAGCAGGGCTGCGTGTGTGCCTGTGTGTGTGTGTGTGTGTGTGTGTGTGTGTCTTGCATGTTTCTTTGATTGCAGCCCATGGGAAGAAATCAGTGTTTTGTGCTCAGTGAGGAACCCATATCTATGCACTTGAGTCTGTAAATAATAAAGACACACATGGTGTGATGTTGGGAAAATAGGCTAAGAGACGTGAAAAGTTTCAGGAGTTTTACAGTGCTTTGCCTTGAAGGAATCTGTGAACATGTTAGTTGACAGAATAGAAGCTGCTCCCCAAAATGGAGGCATTGTCAGAGGATGTCTGCACAGCAGCATTTCTTCTTTGCTGCCGGCCATCGCCTTGAGCTTTTTTGCAGAGCAGAAGCTCGGTTTGGATCCTTGGCGGAGAAGCTGATTAAAATGCCTGCCCGGCAGATAATGTGCAGCTGGAACTATCTTAAACTTCAAGGCTATTACTGCTTCACTCCTGATCACCTCTCTGTATTTAGAGAAGTAGATTATATTAGTACACAGACTCAGTGTCCTCACTTTATACATTTTTATCTTTAATTTGTATGCTCACTAGGTCTGTTTCTAACTTAGGGCTTAACATGTTTATCTTAGAAGAATTTTGTAACCGTCTGTTCTTGTAGACAGAATTAGGTAAGGGTCCCCTGGAAACCTCAAAGAATGAGCTGTAAACATAATTCTTTAACCAAGGACAACTATTTGCTGAAACAATAAATACTGATGTGGGATTTCACTTGGTGCCTCACAGCTCATGGGAATGCTGGAGGACCCCTGACTCCCCTATCACTTTAAACTGCACTTTGTCTCTGATTGGGTTATTTCTCTGTCTCTATTATTTCTCTGTTTCTATTATTTCCAAATAATAGAATTTCTCTGTTTCTATTATTTCTATCTCTTGTGATGATCCTGCCTGGAACGTGTTTTGCTGGTAGTGTTCACTAAGGTTGACTGTCTTCTGAGTGCTTCTTGTGTATTACCTCGTTAATTCTCATGAATTAACCTCACATGAGGTGCCAGCATTTTTTCCACCTTTCAGATGAGGAAACCATGGCCTAGCAAGTTGAGTTACTTTCCCAAGACCTCACAGCAAATAAATGGTAGAGCTGGGATTGGAACCTTGCTCACCTGGCTCTAGAGTGCCTGCTCCTTACCACTTTTACTATATTTTACTAGAACAGAAAAGAAAATGTATCACAAAGTAATATATACCCTTCATACATGTGATACCTCTGACATTAGCTATTTTATTCTATTTCATCCCAAACTATGCTGGTCAAAACCGACCACATGAGTGCCTATAGTCATAGTTACTCAGGATGCTGTGCCAAGAGGATCACTTGAGCCCAGGAATATTATTATTTTTTGAGATAGTCTCACTCTGTCTCCTGGGCTACAGTGCTGTGGCATCAGCCTAGCTCACAGTAACCTCAAGCTCCTGGGCACAAATGATCCTCTTGCCTCAACTTTCTGAGTAGCTGGGACTACAGGCATGTACCACCACACCTGGCTAAATTTTACTATTTTTAGTAGAGATAGAGTCTCACTCTTGCTCAGGGTCTCACTCTTGCTCACTCAAACTCCTAAGCTCAATCAATCCTCCTGCCTTGGCCTCCCAGAGTGCTAAGATTACACATGTAAGCCACCACACCCAGCTGAGCCCAGGAATTTGAGGTTGCAGTGAGCTGTGATTGTGGTAGAATGAGACCTTGTGTCAAAAAAACCCAGAAAAAGCCCATTACCTTCACTTTCTGACCCTCTGTTATGGATCACAAGCTGCTTTTTGAAAAATACTGTGTGTCTCCTGCCTTCAAAGTACCTGGCAGCTCCTTCTCCCCTCCCCTTCCTGCCTTCTGGCTATCACTAGTTCAGGCTATTACCTATACCATCCTCCTTACCTGGGTGACCACCGTGGCCTCCTAACTTTCTCCTTCATGCATTCTTGTTCTCCTTAAATCCACTCTTCATGCTGATACCAAATTAATTTGAGAAGTACCTTTCTGATTATATCATTCCCCTGATTTAAAATCTTCAAATGCCCCATTGCTCTTAGGTACTTAGTGCTTGGCACATGGAAGATGATCCAGTAAATGTATGAGTGAAGAAATAATTATGAAGACTATTGTGTGCTTTTTCCCTAGGACGAAGATCTTCTCCCAACTAAATATTTTGAAGTGGACTTTCCAATGATAGTCTCAAGAAAGCTACACAACATCAAGTAAGTATAGCTTTGGCTGGAAGAAAAAAAGCTGGGTAGAATCGGACCCAGCTCTGCATAAATGGCAGGTTTGAATGCCAGAGGCCTCATTTGAGGGTGTTGCTTTCCTCTGACCCCTGTCCCACTTTCTTTCATGCCCTGGGCCCTCATTCCATTGTGTCATGCAGTTAAAAAGTCCTATCATAGTTTAACATTCTGAATTTTTTAGTATATTTTGTTGACTACTTTATCTTCATGACATAGACAGGTACCTATCCCAGAATAGATGTGTAGTGGGTGAGTTTTTTGTTTGTGAATGAATGATTGGAAGACTGAAGTTAGTTATTATACATGAGATGATAAGGGGGCCATTCAAGGAGTTTGTGAAATGTAGATGACATGTTTGCTATCTTTGCTGAGGCTGAGAGCTTTTCTTTGCCTAGTACCGTGTTAAGTGCTTTGCTAGGATTCTCATTCAATCCTCATAGCAGATTTGTGAATTAAGAGTTGTGATCCCTTTTTAGCAGTTGAAGAAACTGAGGCTCAAAGAAGTTAATTTGCCCAAGGTCACCTAACCAGGAAAGCATGGGGCTGAGATTTAAACCTTGATGTCAGGCCCGAGATGATGAAGGCTTCTTAATTGTTTTAATTGTACTCTTCCTCCCACTATTTAGTCATTTAAATAAAACCCTAATTTGTATATTCAAAAACATTTTAATAAACATAAGTTTCAACCTGCCCTTTAGAGATGTCTAATCTTTACAAATTGGAAGTATTTTTTTTTTTTTTTTATTTTTTTGGAGACAGTCTCGCTTTGTTGCCCAGGCTAGAGTGAGTGCCGTGGCGTCAGCCTAGCTCACAGCAACCTCAAACTCCTGGGCTCGAGTGATCCTTCTGCCTCAGCCTCCCGGGTAGCTGGGACTACAGGCATGCGCCACCATGCCCGGCTAATTTTTTCTATATATATCAGTTGGCCAATTAATTTCTTTCTGTTTATAGTAGAGACGGGGTCTCGCTCTTGCTCAGGCTGGTTTTGAACTCGGCCTCCCAAGAGCTAGGATTACAGGCGTGAGCCACAGCGCCCGGCCTGGAAGTATTTTTTAAGCTTTATTTTTTCTAATTTGTCCCATGAAAATAATTTTTTCACCCTTTCCTAATATAAAATCATATTTTATAATTAAGTATGCTTTTCACATGAGAAATGGCAATTCTGATGCTCTGGGAATGGCAAAGTACTATTATCCTGGTTTAAACAGGTTCTAAGTTAAAGGAAGAGATGCTTTCTTGGGATGGATAATGGATTTGTGTTTGTGTATAGTTTTTTGTGATATTGAATTTGGCTCTGTGATGGCTTATTTATTTATTTATTTTTTTGCATATTCTGGGTTGGGAAAATTAACTTGTGTTACTGAACTTTAGGTTTGTGTAAGAGTCAACTCTTTTGATTGCCTGTGACAAATAATAGCTATTTAAAAATGTTTAAGCATAGGCAAGAAACTAGAGATGGCCTAAAAATCATTGAAATGTTCTTGTGAGCTTATCTTAAGCTATTTTTTAGTCTAAGTGCTCATGGTCAGTTTGTGATTTTGACATATGCTGAGTTAGAAGGCTTATTTGACCTAACCTGAGACCTACATCCACTGAATTTTTACTGCATATGCCTAGGGTCAAATATAATTAAACTGAGTCCTTTTTAGAGTGGCACTTGCTTTGCACAATAGCCATATGTGTTGGCCATTTCTGTAGTGAGTGTCTGCAGTTTTGTAGTAAATGGACTCATGTGTAAATTGTTGAGTAAATTGACTCGTCTTTCTCCTCTTTCCCATCTTCCCACAGAAACAAGCCTCCCCTATCAAACCCCATTATAGAATTACATTCAGAGGACACACTTCATATGGGCAAGTATCCTTAATCTAAGTCATATAATGTGGACTGTATAAGTATTTTTGCTTCATTTTTCTTTGTAAAGATAGGGTGTTTGTTGGGGTATGTGTGCTAGTATACAACCACATCTTTAAAAAGTTTTTTTAAAATTATGGGTAGGTAATTGCTGTATATATTTATAGGGGGTGTGTGATGTTTTGATACAGGTATACAATGTGTAATCAAGTCAGGGTAATTGGAGTATTCATTATCTCAAGCATTTAATCATTTCTTTGTGTTGGGAACATTCCAGTTCCACTTTTTTAGTTAAAGTATACAATAACTTATTGACTCTAGTCATTGTATTGTGCCATCGAATATTTTTCATCCTATCTAAGTATATTTTTGTACCCATTAGTTATCCCCACATTCTAACCCCTTCCCTGCCACCATTCCTAGCCTCTAGTAACCATAATTCTACTCTATATCTTCATGAGATCAATCATCCAATATATACTTCTGCTGATATATTTGTACTTATGTTAATATTGTGGTGCACCTGTATCCATCAGGGAATTTAAAGCAACTTTCTATATGATGTCCTGGGTTTTCCAATCTTAAATCTTTTTAAAAAGAATTTGAATTAGTTGCCAACATTTCAAAAATAGATTTTCATGAAAATCTCAATTTCCAGCTTTCCTTGGAAAAATCAGAATATGTGGCAACCTTAGACCCTGATTTCTGCCCAGCGATGACTGAGTGGTGGCCACTCATTCAGAGGAGTCATGCATTCTCTGGTTCTGTCTCCACTGCTCTGTTCTCTTATGTGTGACCTGTTTGACTCAATTCTGTTACCTACTTGGCCCTTGCAGTCAATTTTTTCCCTCAGTTTTTCTCAACTTTTAATTATGAATTAAAAGTTTCTAAGCCTTTGAAGTTATGGGTAAATCTCTACCACGGTCTTCCATTATTTTCCTTTTGTGTCTGACAGAAGTTCAGGGGGTTATTAGTAATTCGGTTCAGAGAATGTGCTCAGTGAGGATGGCCTTCACAAATGGTTAACAAGATGACACAGGAAACATCCGGCAACCAGATAACTCTCCTTCCATTATTCATCCTCTTAGTGGCTGCACTCCCAATAAAATTTCCACAGAAAATATCTTTCCAACCCTTTGTTTCACTCATACAAATTGTAAAGAGTACCTATTAAAGGTTTGTCATTTGCTGAACTACAATCATGCATCTATTAATGACAGGGAAACTTTATGAGGTGATTTCATGGTTGGTGAATATCACAAAATGTACTTATACAAACCTAGTTGGGAGAGCCCACCACACACCTAGACTAAATGGTATAGCCTATTGCTTCTGGGCTACAAACTCTATTGAATACTGTAGGCAATGGTAGCACAGTGGTAACCATCTGTGTATCTAAATATATCTAACCTAATAGGTACAGTAAAAATATGGTCTGAAAGATAAAAAATGGTACACCTGTGTAAGGTAGTTCATGAAGGAGCTTGAAAGACTGGAAGTTGCTCTGGGTGAGTCAGTGGTGAGTTAATGTGAAGGCCTTGGACAGGGGTGGGGAACATTTCATGTTGGAAAGCTACGTTAACTATAATCAAATAAGGCTGCATTCAAGAAACTTCAATTAGATATACTTAAAAAGGTATATTCTGTAAAAATCTATGTATTTAATGTCAAAAAATGAAAACTATTTGTTAATTTTAAAGCTAACCTTTTAATGACTTTGTTGTGTCTGCTTTTTGTTGGACAGTATTTGAGTATTTGGTTGGGGCATGGAGGTTCAGTTTCTGTTGATTGTTTAGATGGGTATCAGTCATTTGTAACCTTAAGGGCATCTTGATTTGGGTTAGGTAGGAGAATGTAGATTCGCAACAATAAGTGGTTGAAAAGCAAGAAAGCATTTTGGCACGTTGAAGGCGTGGGTATTCTGCATTTTCTCATATTTCAATTGGATATTTCTTAGCATCAGACAATGAGTTTAAAGTGTCATTTACTGAGAGCACAGTCAATTCTATCCATAGTTCTTTAGGTGCCTCAGTGATATCAGCTGGGTGAGGCTGAAATACTAATTTGAGAGTGTTATGGTTCTCAAATTCAGTGAACCTTTCACTGTTTTCTCCGATTAATAGGTCTTAACAGCTGTGTATTCTTCAGATGACTTACATATATCATCCTACTCATCAGCAACCTTTGTTAACTGGGGAAAATGTTCATTCGAAATTTCCTTTTGAAGTGTTTTGAAAAAATAGCTTTTTTTTTTTTTTTTTTTACCACATATCATATATAAACTTAGTTTTACCTTGCAAAGAAATATTCAAGTCATTTTGATTTGACATGGTATCACACAGAAATGCTACATTCTTATAGAAATATTTCAATAATTCACATTGCTAATTATGTTCTTCATAAAAGGTAACTGTTTTCGCAGAGTTAAAATTTTGGCTAACTCCTGTTCCTGCAGTGGTGCAACAGTTCACTCTTATTTTTCTCATTGTACTAAATACTCTCTGATAGTATCTTGATTATTCAGTTATTTAATGATTTACTGTCACTCTCCCTCTTCTACCATGTAAGCTTCCTGAGAGCAGGGACCCCATCTGTTTTGTTCACCACTGTGTCTTTAGACCCTAGGACAGTGTGTGGCACACAGAGATTGTTATGTGAATAGATACACACATGGATCAGGTATAGTGGCTCACACCTATAATCACAGCACTTTGGGAGGCTGAGGTGGGAGGATCCTTTAAGGCCAGGAGTTTGAAATCAGCCTGAGCAACATAGTGAGACCTTGTCTCTAAAAAACAAACAAACAAAAATTAGCCAGGCATATTGGCATGTGCCTGTAGTCCCAGTTACTCAGGAGGCTGAAGCAGGAGGATCTTTGGTCTATTGTGTGTGTGTGTGTGTGTGTGTGCATGCATGTGTGTGCGCACGCGCACTCATGAGAGAGAGGAAGAGAATGTGTTTTTATTGTATACGTGAACTTGAGCACATAGATAACAAAAGGCTGGAATATTATACATCAAAATACCAATAATTGTCTTTGGAAGGTGTGATTTTTGGTTACATTTCACCCTCTTATCTGATTTTTTTTTTTTTTAAACAATGAGCCTGTATTTTTATAATGGGGAAAAACAATAAAACCACTTTAAGTGTGAAAAGCCATATCCCAGGCTAGGCTCTATGGCTCATGCCTATAATCCTAGCACATTGGGAAGCTGAGGTGGAAGGATTGCTTGAGGCCAAGAGTTTGAGACCAGCCTGAGCAACGTAGTGAGACGACGTTGCTACAAAAACAAAGCCATATCCATTGAATTATCTTTTTAATTAATTTCTGTTTAAATTGTAATCTTTTCTTGCATTTGCAGATGGACACATACTGGATTCAAAAAGATACGCCATTATTGGAGCAGATCTCCGAGATACACATGTATTGGAAGAGAAACTAAAGAAATGTAACATGAATACACAGTGAGATTTTTTTTTAATATGTTACTCATTTGTGATTTCATGCTAATTATGAGATAAGGCCAGTTGGAAGTACAGCATAATATGCATGTCCCATTTTTTCTGTAAGTTTTATCATTGCATTGCTACTTAGAGAATATTTGAGACTTTTAAGCAGCAGTGTTTACGTCTGTTTCCACATCAGAACCACCTGTTTTACTTATTAAAAGCACTGGTCCCTAATTTCATGAACAAGGTTTGAGAGAAGATAATATATGGATAGGAACATTTAAGTGCACATTTAAGTGCACACACAAAGGATTACCATCCAGAATACATAAAGAATAAACATAAAAAACCAAAATTCCTGTAGAAAAATGGGTAAAGAACAGATAACCAGGCAGCTCAAAGAAGAAATGGAATATTACATGAAAAGGGTATGGATCGTCAGTAGTAATCAGTAATTCTGGACCATGACCTCGGACATCTTAACTTCAGTTATGTCTCAAGTTCCTCCTTTGACAAATGAGAATAATAGAACCCAACAATAAATGTTAGCAGTTGAAGCTATTGGTAACTATTAAAAACAATCTCAGAAATGCTGTTTATTTCTATAGTTGTAGTGGTCACTGATGATTTTGATGGTTCCTAGAATATAAAAATAATTCCTAATGCCAGTACTCAGACATAATGACCTTCGATTTTATGTCTAAACTTGTGAATATATATTTTTCTTAAAGATGTGGTCATGCTATGCATACACTTTTGGAACTTTTAAAATATGTGTGCGTGTATGTATATGTGTGTATTTGTGCACATATAGTCACTTATTTGTTCATTTATTCACTCATTCAGCAAATGAGAATCTACAAGTTACAGTACTCACTACAGAGACATGAACAAAACAGCTTATACATTGTGTTAGGAAAAAAGACAAACAGCTAATTTCATTGGACTGTTTAATTACTCTTGTGATGCCTGCTCTGAAGAAGTGTTGGGAACTATGTCTTAGGACACTTGACTCTGGGGACCGCACATGGCTTTCATGTCAATAAATACAACTATGAAGCATCATATTTACGAGCCGCGTAGCAGTACCTTGGGTGGATGCACCATGCTCTTTCAACCAGTTTCTTGCTGGACATTTGATTATTTTACAACTTATTTTTTCTAAGATCTCCCACCAATAAAAACAAACAGATGAAAATAATCCACTCTCTTCGTGTGAGAAACAGCAATGAGGAACATCAGTATTCAGGGAGGGGAAGAGGCCCCAGTGAAGGAGTCTGAGAAGGAGCGGTAAGAACTAAGAAAAGCCTGTGGAGGATCATTCTAGAGACAGGGTCAAAGAGTTTCTCCATTCCTTTCAGCATTTACCCTATCCCAGACTAGTCAAGAAAACTGCCGCTCTTGCATTTTGGACCTAAGGAAGTAAAAAAAAGAGTGTGCATGAATTGTGTTCAGTTGACTTGCATGATTTGTGAGCCACCAGTGTTGTCATTTAAAAGTAAAGACTTTTAGATACCTTTTAAGGAGTTTGTTGCTTTTCCTATGTCCTGATTTGTTGATTACTTTGGGTATCTTAATTCAGAGTACATACTAGTACTATAATTTAACTATTCATGTTTTCAATTCTTGATAGTGAAAGCATACATAAGAATTAGAATCAGTTAAATGAATACCACCATTTCTGGGTTGTATCATTCAAATTTTGATGTGTAACAAATCACTCCAAACTCAGTGGTTTAAAACAGCTCACAATTTAGGTGCTCAGGATTCTGTGATTTGACAGTTTGGGGTGGGCTTTGCTAGATGATGGTTCTGCTGAGGGCCAGGTATAGCAGACATCCCTGCGGGTTCACTCGTGTGGACAGTGGGCAGGCTGGCTAGGGATTGACTGTCAGCTAGGGTGTCTCATTCTCTTCCACAAGGCTTCTCATCCTATAGCAGGCTAGCTTGGGTTCTTTCACACAGTGGCTTCAGGTTTCCAGGTGCAGCAAGAGAGCAAGTGGTAGTGTGCAAGTGATTTTCAAGCTTCTGCTTGCATCATGTTTGCTACTGTCCTGTTGGCCAAATCAAGTTACATGACTAGCTCAGATTCCAGGCATAGGAAAATAAACTCCACCTCTTGTATGAGAGACTCTAATGTTGCATTGGCATAGTGTGAGTGCATAGCAGGGAAGAATTTGTACCCATGTCTACTGTCAACCACACAATTAACACATTTTCATAAGCCAGACAAATCACAGCTCACCTTTTCGCAGTATACACCTTTGGGCTGTGATGGCATCACACATGTACCACTGCACTGATCCATTCTGGGCTTGCTCAGTCCTGAGTTTACTGGGGGGCGAGCTGCCCAGCCAGTACTGCAACGTAGGTACAATTAGAGAGTCGTGAATTGATGAATGTATAATTCTGTGCTTTTGTTTTCTTCTCTTCAGATTGCCAACACTCCTGATAGCTGAATGTGTGCTGGTTTATATGACTCCAGAGCAGTCTGCAAACCTCCTCAAGTGGGCAACCAACACTTTTGAGACGGCCATGTTGATAAACTACGAACAGGTAAAAGGAAGCCCAAGAGATCAGGATTCTGCACAGGACTCCAGCAGTGTCTTCCCCTTTCTCAGCCCCTCAGTATATATTTCCCTTATCCTGTTCCTTTTCTTTCTGTCTCTGGCCACTCACATATCTTCTGTATTAATTGGTTCCAGCAATCCTAGTGCTCCTGATTTCTTGACTTCCTGCAAACTTGTAGCCAGATTTTTTTGGACCTTCCCTCTTAGCCTTTACAAAAGATTTTTGAGTTTTTATTTTAGCATTGCATATAGAGTCATAGAAAGTGATGAAGGAGATGTGGGGCTGCCATCAGTGTTGGGGTAGCAAACTCCAGGGCCTTCAAGGGGCAGGCAGTGATGCAGATAGACGAAGCTGGCTAGGTGTAAATAGTGTGGAATTGGGGGACTGTGATGAATTGGAGCTCCCATGTCCTGGTTATGGCCACTACCCAGTTCCAGCCAGTTGTTACCAGGTGAGCCTGTGAGCCTAAATTTGCCAGAACTCCCAGTTTTTCAAGAGAAGTTAGAAATGTAGGATTTCAGTTTCAAATGTCCTAATTTCTAATATCACTGACTTTGATCCACTGGTTTCCTGTTGACCTTTTCTGATTTAGTGTTAAAGAATTATGTTTTAGAGCTTTGGGATGATCCAGCTTGGATCTAAACCTTGGCCCTAGCTCTTCTTGGCTGTGACCTTAGGCAACATTACTTAATGATTGGGCATCCATGCTCTGGAGGTAGACTTTCTAGCTGTGTGACCTAGACAGGTTATATCACCTCTGTGTGTCTGTTTCTTCACCTGAAAATAATAATAGTCCCCTATAGTGTAATTCAGGCAATAGGTGCAATGCTCAGTTACTACACTGTCTGGCTGTTAATTAAGCTTTAGCTGTTTTTGGATCTCTCTGAGCCCCAGTTCTTTTTTCTTAAGAGGGATAATACCTAGCTCTTTGCATTTTTATGGAAATTCATGTTTAGTGGTAAACACATGATAACCACTGAATACTTTTGTTTTAATTTTGTTTTTTAATCTAATTTTCTTTTATTACAGACAGCAGTAATGGACTTACCCCGTGTCACATAATTATGTACAGATCTAGAGTTAGACTTTGGTCTCTCGATGACCTTCCTAGCTCCCTTCTGGTCCAGGTTCCTGTGTGGATGGTTCTTGATTGGTGATGTTGCCTCCTTCCCTCTCTTTAAATTGGGAACCTTCCTCAAACTCTGTCTTTCATCCTGAGGAATGGATGTGATGGCAGCTGTCCTCATCGGTCTTTTATTTTGATGGGAATGAGTTCTGGGAACCTATCTTTGCTTTCAGATACCACACCTGGGGAAAACGAATTCACCTTTCCATATTTCCACACATCTCGGGTGCATGCAGCTTCACTTGTTTGGCTGGACCTGTGTATTCTTTGTTCAACAAGCATTTATTCAGCATCATATGAGAGAGATGGATCATGTGAATTTTGACAATAGACCCTGTCACTTTGGAGCAATCCTAGGAATGTTTCGGTGTATAATATGTTGTCCACAGTAAAGTGGCTAAGCTCCCACCTACTACTCTCACCTTGCAAATAATAAACATTTAACTTGATTCAATCATTTCCTAACAAACACAGAATCAGCAACCTCACAATGTGTATTAATTGCTGACATGCCTTACATTATCTCCTAATCAGTAGTTTAAAATGACAAGACCATATAGATATAATTTCAGTAATGATCTTAAAAGTAATGATAGCAAATTCTTAGATTCCCTGTCCTCCCTGTTCTACCAGTTTTGCATATACTAATGTATTTAATTATCACAACAATCTACAAGGTAGGTACTAGTACTATCTTGATTTTATAGGCAAGGAGATTGACGCACATAGTTAGCGTCAGCTTGTCCTCGGCCTCTCAGTTAAGTGTCAACTCAGTGTCAAACCTGGGCAATAAAATGACAGAGTATGTACTCACAAACACTGATCCTGAATGACTAGTGTGCAGTCTGATCTTTAGTGCCATAAGCCTTCCTCGCCATCAAAAGAGAGTAACATTTGTTTCTGACTGGCAGTGTTCTCATATGAACTCTGGGCATCATGTTACATATTAAGAATTTTTGACACCTTGTATATGACAGTGTAATAGAGTGTATGCTAAAATAGTGTACACTAATATGTTTTCTGGCATTTTTATATATATGGATTAATTATGTTTTTTTAAAATTTGTTTAATTGAAAAAGTAATATATGCAGAGTACAAAAATAAAAAATATAACAGGGTGGTAGATAAGGAAGAGTCAATCTCTCTCCTATCTCAGACCCCAGCCCTCTAACTTGGGAAGCAATGCTACCACATTCTAGTACATATAAAGATAGTTTTCCCTTAAAGATAGATGGGAGCATACTATCCATGTTGATTTATACTTTGCTTTTTGAGATTACCTTAGAGGTCATTTTATGTCTATATGTGTATTTATCTTCCTTTTCTGATTTCATGGCTATATAGCATTTCCTTATGAATATGCTAGAATATATTTAACCCCAAATGAATATTTCCAGATTCTTCCTAATTCTCTAGTCAACATTCTCACATCTTTGCATACACGTGTGCATATACCTATGGGATAAATTGCTATCAGAGGAATTGCTGGGTAACAGGGTGAGCATTTAAAATGGATGTATACTGCACAGTTGCCCTTCCAGAGGCTGCACAGGTCTGCTCCCAGCAGCGCTGTGTGTTAGTGCTGCTCCTCTTTCCTTTACCTGCACTGGGTGTGTGTTATCACATACAGGCCTTGCCTGGTAAGAACTCGGATGTTATGTTATTTTGTATATTTAAGAAACAAAGACCCTCTTGTGATACCCAGCCTCCTCTTTCCCTTCCCAGGTGAACATGGGTGATCGGTTTGGGCAGATCATGATTGAAAACCTGCGGAGACGACAGTGTGATCTAGCAGGAGTGGAAACTTGCAAGTCATTAGAGTCACAGGTCAGTGAGCAGAGACTGGGACATCTGCTTTTACCTTTAGCCCAGTAAGGAAGGGCATTCTCCCTTCACACATGAGAGAATGTGAGCAGCTTTAAGTCCCTTCTGACACAAGCAGCTGGGGCTCCATGTGGGCCACAGGTTCATGATGCTAGGACAATCCAAGTCCTCATTAGGCATCTTGGTGTAGAAAATACACATTCAGCTTGGTGCTGTGGTTCAAGCCTATAATCCTATTTACTGAGGGGCTGAGGCAAGAGGATTGCTTGAGGCCAGTGGTTCAAGACCAGCCTGGGCAACAGAGCAAGACTTTGTCTCTTAAAAAAGTAAAAATAGCAGCGCACATGCTTGTAATCTCAGCTGTTTGGGAGGCTGAGGAAGGAGGATGGCTTGAGCCCAGGAGTTCAGGCTTCAGTGAGCTATAATTGTACTACTGCACTCCAGCCTGGGTGACAGAGCAAGATGCCATCTCTTAAATTTTTTTTTTTAATTTACATTTCCTATAAACTGTTTGAACTCTTTCTTATGCAAATTTCCAAACACACATAGAAGTAGAGGGAATGGCAACATGAACCCCCTATGTCCCCTCAGCCAGCTTCAGTATTATTTTGTCAATATTGTTTCATGTATTCCCCCACATAATTTTTTGTTGGTGGCATTGGAATGTTTTCCAACCAGTCTTGGACAGTACATGATTTCACCTGTAAATGCTTCAGTGTGAATCTCCTACCAATAAGGACTTTCTTCCCCTGGATAGTGCTAATACCGATATTACACCGAACACATTGCCAGTAACTCCTTCACCATATCTCATACCCAACCCAGGCCATGTTCCATTTTTCCGAATTGTTTAAAAAATATACCGGTGTTTGAATCAGGATCCAAACGTGATCCACACTTTGTCTATGATTAATATCTCCCTAAAATCTCCTGGAATCTATAATAGTCTCCCTCCCTCTTTCAGAAATGTCATTCATTTGCTAGAGACACCTCCCACGCCTGCCCCCATTTAAATAGGTTCTTAAATGTCTTATATGACATTACCCTAGAACACTTAAAAAAAAAACAAAAACCATTGCTCATAGAAAAGTTATAACAATGTGTGTTCAATATAGAAAGTGAAATGTAACAGGAAGAAAGATGCTAGGGGCCAGAATGGCCTTTTGAAAGAGGAGTCTTCTTAGAGAAAGTCTATTGTGCTTAAGAGTGTCTCAGATTTGCCCGACAGTGTCTGGTGGTTCTCCATTTTTTCTCTTTACGGCATGTTTTAGAAAGAACGGCTGCTGTCGACAGGGTGGGAGACGGCATCCGTGGTGGACATGATGGAGTTGTACAGCAGGTTACCGCGTGCTGAAGTGACCAGGTAGGGGCTTGGCAGCGGACCTCTGTCCTCATTCATTGTGATCTCAAGGGATGATTGTTTAATTTTAAAAAGGGAAACAAAACTGTAACTAGACGTATTTTGAAACAAGTTAAACATTGATAGGAGCTTGAGAGTAATTTATTAGCTAGTAGCTGAGATAGGGTTTATGCAGAAAACAGATTGCTTCAGTCAACATAAGTAATTACAGAAAGCTCACAGAACAGTCTCAACATTGGCAATATTCTGGAATCCTTGTTTTAGAGAGGGAGGAAAATGATGTTGCTCAATGTCTTGTAAGGGGAAAAACATCTGGCAATTTGTGGATGTACATTCTGGAGGTAGCAATTAACATCATGGGGCATATTCCCGCTTTCATTCATTTCATTATAATTATTTTGTGCTTCCAGGTTTATGCTTTCCTCTTATCTTTGGAGACTTAAGATAATAGTGCTTGATCTCTTACAAGATCTTGAGATGAATTTTTGGCTTTGCTGCTACATATAACTTATTAACATTTAACAGTATTGTGGCTTTGGCCAAGTACATATGAGTAATTGGCAATTGGAGCCTTGAAGGTTTAAGAAAGTGTTGTCTCCATGTGATCAGGTTGATGCATTTCCTGCAGGTTGGTTTTCATTTGCTACATGTCAAGATGACTATTTTGAGTATCCCTGGTCTGGCATCTGTAATGTGGGTGCTGTAGTACCTCTTCTAGATACCCAGAGAGGGGGTCTGTCACTAGCACCAACCACAAGGAAGGTAACTTGCTTCTAGGCAATCATTGTTCTGATGTTTCCATGGCCTTTTGTACACAGCAACATGTACAATGGGTGGTGTACAATGCCTAATGGGTGGCAGATAAGGATTTTGGATGGGCTTTGTTCATCCCAGGCTGAATAGCCTTCTTAGTTTTGTGTCTGTTTTTGCTGGAAACTGGAGTATAAGAAGTCTAAGGTGAGCCTATTCATGTAACAAATGCTGAGTGTCTACTGTGTGCCAAGCACTCTTCTAAGTATAAGGGATACAACAAAGATGAAAACAGCACAAAGGATATGCCTGCCCTTGGGAGCTCACATTCTCGTGAACAGCTTCCCAATCAGTGGTGTCTCCTGATAGTTGTACTTAGTAATAACCATCCCAGAGTTTCAGTATGGTGTTTTTTCCTAGAACTTGGTATTAGAAAATCTGCCTTGGATGTCTTCTGCAAAGATTAGTTTGGAAGCAACCAAAGCACTTTATGTATAGTCATTCTCACTTCAGATGTGATCCTTGAACCTGCTTACCAAAACGGTAGTGAATGCACAAATACAGAAATGTGCACAGACATATGCACGTGTGTACACTCCCATGGGCACCTGCACACACAAAGCCTGGACAAAATGGCAGCACAAGATTGTTAGCAATGGCTACTGCAAATAGTTGGTAGAATATGGATCATTTTTTATTTTCTTCTGTATACTTTTTGGAAATGCCTTAATTTTCCTCCAAAGTGTGTACATATTTCAAGGAGGAGGAGGAAAGCTATTTCCATATGTTTATGCATGTTTCTCTCTCTCTCTCTGTGTGTGTGTATATATATATTTTTGAGACAGAGTCTTGCTCTGTTGCCCTGGCGTCAGCCTAGCTCACAGCAACCTCAAACTCCTGGGGCTCAAGCAATCTTTCTGCCTTAGCCTCCCGAGTAGCTGGGACTACAGGCATGTGCCACCATGCCCGGCTAATTTTTTTGTATATATTTTTAGTTGTCCAGCTAGTTTTTATGTTTTTAATAGAGATGGAAACTTGCTCTTGCTCAGGCTGATCTCGAACTCCTGAGCTCAAACGATCCGCCCACCTCGGCCTCCCAGAGTGCTAGGATTACAGGCGTGAACCACTGCGCCTGGCCTTTCCATGTATATTTTTAAAAGCTTACATTTAAAATGCTTTTCTGAAGTCATTCATGCATAATTCAAAAAAACAAACAAACCAGAATCAAATATATAGAGTAAAAGCAAACACAGCCCACCCACCCCCACCTGCCGCCACCTCTCATAAGAAACCAGAAATGGTCTTATTCTTCATGTATTTTCCAAAGTAGTCTGTGCATACATAGACATATGTGTGTCTCCCTTTTCCTTTACATGGGTAGTGGTATACTATGCACATTCCTTACTACACAACTTTCTTTTTAAATCCCATGATACGTTTTGGAGGTTGTTCCATGTTAATATATTTTTTAAATGGCTGTATAGTGTCCTGTTGTATCCATGTGCTTGAGTGTATTCAGCCATCTCTTCTAGTTTCCAGTTCTTTGCTTCTTGGACATAGATCTTTGGACACATATAGGATATATTCTTAAGAGGCAGAATTGTTGAGTCCAAGGATGCACATTTTAATCATTGAGATTATCAAGATGCCGTCCAGAGATACTATTTTGTAATCCTACCAGTAATTTAGGAAGAATTTTTTTTTGATGTTGTTGCTAAAATGTATATCAGCTTTTTTGACCTTTGTCAATCTGATAGCTGAAATGTTATATTTTAATTTGCATTTTTTTCTCACACATGAATTCAACAACTTCTTTTTTGGTAAACTGATCTTTTCCCCCCATTTTAAATGAATTTAAAATTTTTTTCTTAAGTTCATTTTTTTTCTCATACGTGAGATTGAAAATGGCTTCCTTTTTGGTGAACTGGTCTTTTCCCCATCTTTTAAATGAATTTTAGAAGTTTTTCTCATTGAAGTTTAACAGCTCTTGATATAGCAGGGAAATCAACTTTGTCATTTGTATTGACAATTTGTTTCTAGTTTGTCATTTGTCTTTTGACTTTTAAAATGGAACCTCACCATTCATACTATGTGTAGCCTGCTTCTTTCCCCTTAATATATCATGCCATTTTTCCATGTGGACTCATGTCCATCACTGTGAGTCACCATCTTCATTTTAAACATAGAAATCTATATTGTTGTCATTCTCTCCACAGAATAGAATCGCTTGAATTCCTGGATGAAGTGGAACTTCTCGAGCAGCTCATGCAGCATTACTGCCTTTGTTGGGCAACCAAAGGAGGAAGTGAACTCGGTATGTGATTCTACTTTGTTGCTTTAACCTAGAAATGGGGAACTTTTCTTCTCCAAGCAATGAAACACATGCCTGGAACTGTGGACCCAGAAGAACTAGAGATGGTATAAGTGCATCCATGAGTGTATCCAGAGAATTTGCTGTTGTATTCTGTGTTTTTAAAGCATAGAAACCACGGGAACTGCTTAAATAAGCCATGTGTCCCCAAACAACCTTCGAGAGATCTGTGGAATTTCTGCAGTTGTTAGGTAAAAGACCTTGAGGCTTTAAAGTAATTGTCATAAAAGTGACTAGTGTTTATATTTTTCATCAACTTGTTACCAGGTTACTAGATAGATGTTAAACACACAGATCATTACATCTGTCTAATGAACCCATGTAGCTGGAGTTGAGTTTCTCTGTTTTCTTTTATGATGAAGCTGCACTTCCCAGGCCATGGCCAAGTAGGGCCATAGAGGGCGAGCATGGATCTTATCTGGGTTCCTGGTTAGCTTGGTCTTGGGCGGCCACCTCCTTCACAAGTGCCCTGTGCTGGGTTGGCTTCCCAGTGGTTAGTCTTGGGTGTCTCTCCATCCCACTGGCCACCACTTTAGATCCCAGTTCTGGCATTTAATGTAAAAGCTGCCCTTCAAGCTCCCACAGAAGTGATCCAAAGACACAAGACCTCTGGAAGGCAGCTGATATGAAACAAAGAACTTGACAGAGGCAAAGACTGTCTCCTGTGTGAAAATTCTAGGTTGACACGAGACTGACAATCAGGCAACTTGGGCTTATTGTTCTCCTCCTTTCCAGATTCCCTCAGCTGTGCAGTTCAGCCCACAAAGTCCTTTCAATGTTGAGTTAGTCATTTATTGGTGTGTTTTTGTATTTTTCCTTCTCCTAATAAAAACGTAATTTTGAGTAGAGAATTTGTGAAAATATATAGCAAAGAAAATTCACTTGTATGCATATCATTTAGAGACAATGTCTACGAACTTCTTCCTTCTCCTTTTCTACATATTTTTAGCAGAGTTGAATTTATCCAATTTCTAACATTTTCAACTTACTGTTACATAAGGATTTCCCCCTTGCTACTAAACTCTCAATGAGCATTATTTTAATGTGTTTATAACATTCTGTCATGTGATTATAACCAAATTTAATTTTCCCATACTTCTGGAATATAGTTTGTAAATACTGGAGTTAAAAGTATTAGAAATAAAGTACCTCATATTGCACATTTTAATGTAAGGGGCTGCTTTTGTCCCCACTGCACCTGGCTTCTTTGGGACATCAGAGCTTGTGTGTGTGTGTTTTGAAGAACCCTCTCTGCATTTGCTCAAAGTTCAGCATGTAAAGTGTGAGTGTTTGGTGTTACTTGCAGAAAGCTGTTATAATACTTTCTTAATCCCTTTAAAACTAGCCATAAACATTCTCACCCAACCTCTTGTTTCCACGGGAAATCTCATTCTCCATAACACAACAGCAGAGCTGCAGCAGTCAGATGTGTGGCTGGTGCCCCAGAGCCAGTCACTGGGGGTCCACAGCAGGGTCACATTGTCTCAGCTCTGTTTTCTCTGCTTTGCCCTGAGTCTTTGACCAGCATCTGTGTGTCTCCTCCCCACAGGTTTGAAAGACATAACTTATTAGTCTGTTGAAGGCACATGCTGAGCCCCAGAAGCTGAAGCCACCAGCCTTCCCGGGGGAGCTATGCTGAGCTCCCTGAGTGATGGGCAGGCCTTGAGGTACTGATCTCATCCCACACTCTGAGAAACCTTGTTCTCAAAATTTGTCGTACCAACTCTTGTTTCTGTTGACTTGTTTAAATAAATCACACTTGCCATTGCCTGCGTGGTGGGCCTCTGCTGTTGTCTGCTGCTCATTCTGCACTCTACAGGGTGGGCTGGGGTTCACCTTTGTGTCAGCTGAAGCCAAGGATCCTGAGTCCCACTTGACCTTGGCTTACTCCTTGTGAGTCAGACTCAGCTCATTTTTATTTTATTTTGAGACAGAGTCTCACTTTGTTGCCCAGGCTAGAGTGAGTGCCGTGGCATCAGCCTAGCTCACAGCAACCTCAAACTCCTAGACTCAAGCAATCCTCCTGCCTCAGCCTTCCGAGTAGCTGGGACTACAGGCATGCACCACCATGCCTGGCTAATTTTTTCTCTGTATATTAGTTGGCCAATTAATTTCTTTCTATTTATAGTAGAGACAGGGTCTCACTCTTGCTCAGGCTGGTTTCGAACTCCTGACCTTGAGCAATCCACCCTCCTCAGCCTCCTAGAGTGCTAGGATTACAGGCATGAGCCACCGCGCCCGGCCCAGACTCAGCTCATGACCTATACACATTTTGGGATTTTTTCCTTCACTTGTTCATTGTTGTGGAACCTCACCTTGTATCTTGCCCTCTGACCCTTGGCCTCCACCAGATACTGGGACTCTCTGGCTCCTGTTTCTGCCCTGGCCTGCTTAACTGCCTCCTTCATCCTGGTCGCTGTGGTAGGCTGAGGGAGGGCCCTGAAAATGTCCACGTCCTGATCTCCAGAACCTATGTAAGTGTGGTGAAGGGAGCTTTGCAATTTAGATTAAGGAACTTGAGATGGGCCTGATGTCATCACAAGGGTCTTGATGAGCAAGACAGAGGAGAGGGTGGTGTGATGGCAGAGACTCTGGAGTGATGTGCTCGCAAGATGGAAGGGCCATCTTTTCTTTCTGAAAAGAACAGGAAAACATTCTCTCCTCAGAGCCTACCAGACTCCAGAAGGAAACCATCCTGCTGACACCTTGATTTTAGCCTAGTGAAACTGAGCACAGATATCTCACCTTCATAATTATAAGAGAATATATTTGTTTTAATCCACTTAATTTGTGGTAATTTTTTACAAGAGCAATTGGACACTATTACAGTTATATACAGATGAATAGCCACTCCCTGTCCCTGGAGACATTACTCCACAACTCAAACACAAGGCCTGACCACACCTGATGAGCTTTTTGGTCATGTAACTGGGGCTGTGAACCTGAACCTGCATGTGCAGGGGGCCCGTCAGGAAGCCCCCTGGTGCTCTTCTGTTGGAGAGGTAGGTAACTGACCTGTCTTCCACTGTATGGGATCCTTAGATTTGTGTCCCCTTAGCATGTGATCCACTTTGGCATGCCTGTGGATGGGAGGTGGTGCCCCGATAACAGCATAAAATAAAACTGAATCACTGAAAGGCTTTTAGTCTTTCACTATTGTGATACTGGCTCTGGATTTTTATATATGGTCTTTACTATAATGAAGTATTTTCCTTCTCTTCCTATTTTGTTGAGTGTCTTTATCATGAAAGGATTTGAATTTTGTCAAATGCTTTATCTGTATCAGTTGAGATTGGTTTTCCCCTTTGTTTTGTTAATGTGATGTATTACACTGATGGATTTTTATATGTTGAACTATTCCAGGAATAATTCCACTTGGTCATGGTAGATAATCCTTTTAATACATTCTGGAATTTGGTGTGCTGCTATTTTGTTGAGGCTTTTGTATCGAAAAGGGATATTAGTATATAATTTTCTTGTAGTATCTTTGTCCACTTTTGGTATTGAGATAATGCTGGCCTCAGATTGTGTTAGAATGTATGCCCTCTTCAATTTTTTTTTGAATGAGTTTGAGAAGAATTGGTATTAAATCTCCTTTAAATGTTTGTTAAAAATCACCAGTGAAGACTAATGATTCAGGGTTTTTCTTTGTTGAGAGGTCTTTAATTATTTAGTATCCTTACCAGTTACAGGTCTATTCAGATTTTACATTTTTTTATAATTCAGTCTTACTTTGTGTGTGTCTTAGTTTGTGTGTGTCTTAGTCTGTTTTCCGTAGCCATAATACCCGAAAATATGCCATTGCCGTCAAAGCCTTTAAAGATATTCGCAAATAGTCTTCAAATTCTTGAGAAATGAAGAGAAAAATATTTCAAATTTAACTCACAAAAATATATTTTACTCAATTTGTTAGCTCAGAAGGAAAAAAGGTTGTATTGATTTCTGGAAAACACAGGAAAATAAGCAATGCTTCAAGCAAAGAAGTCATCAAAAATTATTTTAGTCCACCATTAGCTTAGTCTCATATAATTAATGTTTGAGGTTTGGTTAGCAATCCTCGTCAATGCTTCAGCTTTTTAATTAAATTCTTGGAAGTTTTCCTAATGTAAATTAATGGTATGATCTCCACAGTAATCAGAAACCGTAGTCAAGAGTACTTGTCAGAGTCCTTTTTATGACTATCTGTGAAGCAGTAGATTTTGGATTGTAGCCAGTTAAAAACTTTGAGAGGAATTAAAGAAAAACAATAATTCTAGATGACAAAAAGGATAGCCAGTGTTAATGCATATCAAGACATCGGAATTTTAGGAGTCTCCTACAGTTTTCAAACACATTAATAATGCATTTATATAAATATAACAAAGCTAAACACCAATTCATATTTGACAGTGCTTCCTGCCTGGGAGATTTGTTTCCTCTCCCTCATTTATTTATCCAACAAACAGTATGGATTCACGGAAATGTTACAGTTTGGGTTATAATCCAATACTACCATATTTTGTTATATGTAGGTTTTAAAAAAAATTATTAAACAGGCTTTCAGAGTGGCTGAACATTCCTACCAATGACATGAGTGATCTGGTTTCTCCACATTGTGTTTATTTTTTTTTCTTCTTAAATGTTAGCCATTCTGATAGGTGTGTAGGCATATCTCATTGTGGTTTTAATTTTCATGAGAATGTATCCTCTTTGGAGCTTACATGTTTGTCTCTTGCCCATTTTCTAATAGGATTTGAGTTTTGAGAGCTCTTTGTACAGTCTAGATATTGGTCTTTTTCCAGCTATGTGGTGTGCAAATATCTCCCAAAGTTTTTCTTTTGATGTTCAATTTTATCAATTTTTATGAATCATACTTTTGGTGTCAAATGCATTCTATTAAGCCTGTCACATTCATTTTGAGTTACATTTTATATGAGATGTGAGTTGAAATTTCATTTATTTGCCTATGGATAGCGCCAGTTACATCAACATAAAAAGGCTATCTTTCCTCCATTGAATTGCTTTTTACACCTTCTTCCAGATTATATGTTTTATGTTTTTGTCCTGCTCAGAAAAATCTTCCCCATTTCAAATAGCAAAAATTAATCCACATTCTTTTATGGCCAGACCTTCCTAGGCTCTTTATTCAGTTCCAGTGGCTCATTTATATATTTCTTCCCTGATTCTAAACTACTCTAATTATTATGATTTGGTATCTGGTAGAGCTTGTTTTCTCAAATTCTCTTCCTTCTCATAATGTTCCTGGATAGTCTCACACATTTACTTTGGAAATTCAGTGTTGGCAGATTTAGTTAGTGATCTCCCAAAGATTCAATTTCTCCTTCCATAGTGTTTCGGGTGTGGGTAAGGGAGCTGCTGCCCAGTGAGAGACTACATTTCCTAGGCCCCTTTCATCTAAGCTGTGGCTGTATTGTCCTGATGTGGCTAAGAAATGGGTCTGCCCTCTACCTTTTTTATTGTCCTCCTTTGACAACCTTGGAAGCCAATTATTGAAAATGGTAGAGAGACAAGATGGAAGGAGCTGGTCCCCGAATCCCTGTGTAGATGGTCTCCTGCTGAACACTCGGGAGTGATTAAAGAAAATCCATTTCATGTGTTTAAGTCATTGGGATTAAGAGTGTGTTACAGCAGCCAGTGTTATTATAAACAATATATTTAATATCGTTTTGCCAGGTTCTCCCAAACTCTTGTTGTGACTTGAGGGGTGAAATAAAATGAAATCTTAAGAATGGACCCCTGGCAAACTAAACAAAAAACCTTAAAGCTGAGTTGCCTGCGATGAGAAGAGAGGTTAGACGGGTCTAGTGGTGCCCTGTCCCTCTTGGAGTTATTTTTATAAAAAATAAGATACAAAATGAAGAAACCTAAGGCCTTGTTAAACTGGACCTGCAGATCACCAGTTTACTCAACACATCACTTGAGTCTGGTGGCTTATCTCTGATTAACAGACTTCCTTATTTTAATTTAAAACATTCCAAGCCTTTAGACAAAGCTTCATTTCTTTAACCAATTACAAATCAAAGAATCTTTAAACCCACCTATAACTTGTAATCCCCTGCTTCAAGATGTCATGCCTTTTGGGGCCAAACCCATGTATACCTTCCATGTATTGATTTATGACTTTATGTGTAATTCTTCTCTGGCTGAAATGTATAAAATGAAACTAACAAACCCCAAGGAGACTATTTGCTCAAGGCTTTCTGGGCGTGGCTCTCTAGCCATGGTCACACATGTTCTGCTCAGAATAAATCTCTTTAAATTATTTTACAGAGTTTGGGTTCTTTTCTGTTGACAGTGGCATTAAATTTATAACTTAAGAGAACTGACCTCATTACAATATTGAACATGATGTCATTCTATTTAGTTAAGCGTACTTTTATGGTCATAGGTAGAATTTACAATATATAGTTTACCCATGCGTCAATGGTAACTATCTTTGAATGGTATAATCATTTCAGATATCTCTGTGTAATCACATATTTATCAAATTGGAATATGATACATCCTGTTCTATAAACTGCCTTTTTGTTCCAACATTTCTATAATCAGATCTACAACAGGTTGGCAGAGATTTTTTCTTAAAGGGCCATATAGTAAATATTTTAGACTTTGTGGAACAGGAGGATATTATGCAAATAAAATTGCTAACCATTTAAACTGTAAAAACCTTCTTAGCCTGCAGTCCATAAAATAATAAGCAACTACCCAGCATTGGCCCATAGGCTACAGTTTGCCAACCCTGAATCTATAACATTGTAAAAACTACTTA